TTGCTGCTGTGGCTGTCAGGTCTGCAGCGGTAAAGTAAAATGATATGAACATAAAATTTTTTTGCAGTTTTTTACCTTTTTTTCTTGTAGAATTGTTTTAGTTTTTTCTCTAAACATACAAAATTATTTAATTTTTCTTTGATGGAGAAAAGGAGGCAAGAAAAAAAGCAAACTTATAACTTTGATTACATTTTATATGTATTCTATTTGTTTAGGTTCTGAAATGGATGAGAAACTTTAGCAGAGGATAGCTCTTCGGTCTGTGCAATGCGGGGAACTATGATGGAAGAGTGACTGATATAAATCGCAAATTTTGACTTGTCGTACTCTTTTGTCTCACCACAACTTCTATTCCCCCTTTTTTTTAAAATTTTTTTTTTGACCTGAGTCTATACCGCAGAAAACTTTTTTGAATTTTCTTTCTTCGTTTTTCACTTATCTTATACATATATATTTCATCAGCATTTTTTTAGCACTGTCTTTCGATTTGCTTTTTTTATATGAGTTGCACACACATGCTATGTACATTTTACATCTTTATTTTTGGAGTTTTTTATTTCTAACTTAAAAAGAGAAACGTATGAGACAAAAAAATATTGGAAAGTCTTAATGAAACTATTTAACAAACCAAAACCTAGGCTTTTGGGGGATATTGTCCCAAGAGGAAAGATGGGAGAATTAACAAACAGACGGAATCGGATTTTTTTTCTTGTCAGTAGTCTTATTGACTATGGGATGGTAACTGTAACTCAGATGTCGCGTTTCAGTGTGGAAGTAGAAGTGAATGGGCAAACAAATAGGTATCTGGATGAATAAGATTTTGAAGTGGAGGGGTTGGATAAGGTTTTCAGAGGTTACTAATGGTTTCTGAAGTTGATTGGAATGCATGCTCAGAACCGTGTTCTAACCAAAAAAACAGCAACATTAACCATCATTAATTATCGCTTTTGGTTTCATTTTCTCATTAATTTTCCTTTTTCGTTGCATGTCAGTCGAATGAAACAAAATTTACATAATTTGCTCTGTGTTCTGATCTGCATAAGTTAACTCGGTTTCTTTTTTCTTTTTTGTATTATTAACCACCCACTGTTGTTATTTATTAAAACATATAATGCAGAATTAGGGTGCTAAAGCTGCTTTAACTTAATGCAAAGTTTATAACAATTTTCCACCTAACTCACTGGCTTTGTATTTACCTGATTTACTTTTGATTTATTTTTATTTTTGTTTTTATTTTTTATTTCTTTTCATTCTTTATTTTTATTTTTTTTTCTTCGCTGTTATCTCTCCTTATGTCTGCAGATTTCTCTTCCGGTACTGCTGGTGTTACTGCAACTGGTGGTGTTATTGATAATAGCTTTAGCCGCAGTTTTCGCATGTCGGCGTTCTTCAACGGTTATACCTGAGAATTCTGAGCTTCGAAGTTGTAACGCACGGTAGTGTGTCTTAACACACAGTTCCTACAAAATGCACACAATTACATATATACAGTTATCACAAACGCTGGCTGGTGGATATAGTTTTTCTTGTTTTCTTTATGTCATTGTTATTTTCACTGCTGCTACAACAACAACTACTACTACTACTGCTACTACCACTTCTACTTTTTCTTCTTTTGCTGCTAGCGCTGTTACCATTTTTACTGTAACAACTACAACAATAACAGCAACTTCAACAGCAACAGCAACCACTATTGTTAAGTTGCAGCCATCAAGGAGGAAATTTTCATCATGTTAAGTTTTGCCGTTATGTTGACACACTTTCTACAACTTTTTAGTGCATTAATGCGTGTCTTCATGTTTATGTGACTGTGTATGCGTGTATTTTTTAGCGCGTGTGTTTGAGTGAGTGTTTGTAAGTGTGTATGTTTGTGGATCTTTAGATCTTTCATTTTCCTAATGGCTCACCTGTATTTTTTCTTCTTGAATTTTAACCAGTTTGCTGTGTTGTAAATTGACAAACTTCAGAGTATTAGGACCTCTTTTTGGAACAATTTTTTTTCCAGTTTTTAACTTCAAGTTTTCCCATGCGGGTTCATGTAAGCTGTGATTTTTTTACAGACTTGAAACTTTTTGGTTTGATTTGACTTGAATTGCTGTATTGTACAGGCATTGATTTTACTCGACTACTTTGCATGTTCTGCTTAATATCCCTGCTTAGTCACGAAAAAGAAGAGAAGGGAAAAAAAGAAGAATTCAGATTTTTGTTGTGATATAGCTGAATAGAGGAGTCTTCTTTTTTTCCTTCACTTTACATCTCCTTGTTCTGATTTTTTTTCTTAGTGGTAGTTAAAATCTAAATTATTGACGTAGTATTGTTTTTTATGCATCTAATTGTTTGGTTGTTTGTTTTTTCCCACATGTGTCTTATCCATTATGCTGCCTTATAATTGTTTTATGGATGCATGCTTTAAAAAAATCATAAATTTGTTTTTGTCTCCACTTCGGTTTTTAAGGGGAAAGAAAAATTGGCGCTTTCACCCGATGTGGTATGTAGAATGGCACGCCTAATCTCTGTGACCGTTAATGTTGCCTTTTTTAGTTTTTTTAGAAGTTGTTATTTGCGAGAATTATTTGCTTTCAATGTAGGAAAGATTTTCATAGTTGTTAATCGTTCCAGTGCATCTGGTTATGAAGGAAAAAACTTGTTTTTTGTAGCATGAATAAGGAATATTTTTTTCGACAGTTGCAGGTTTTGCATCCTCTTCTGCTTATTATTATTGTATGTTGGCATGCAAACGACTAGAATTTGGAATAGAAAAATTTAGTGGATAGATGGAATGAAAATATTCTCGCAAATGCTTCTCTAAGTATCGTCCTGATTTCGCATGATGATGATAATGATACTGATAACGCTGATAATACTGGTAATTATGATGGTCGTATGGTGATAATGATGCTGGTGATTTAGATGTGATTGAAACGTCGTCTGTGTTCGGTTGTTTGTTTGTTTGTTCTTCCTTTTTTCATGTTTTTGGTTATTCGATTATTTTTTTTTCAAGTAATGTTTTGCCCTTGCTGTTGCCGAAATGGCCAGGAGAATTCTGGGGAAAGCTTGATGGATATTACAAATGGAGTCGGTTGAGAGGAAATCAGTTTTGGGACGGGTCCTTATTTTAGTGTATTTGGAAGTCTGTTTACTAATGCTGTCGGAGCTTCAGTCACTATTCTTAAGTGTTTTCGAAGCTCTATATTTTCGTTATGTTCGTTATTTTTTCAGATCAGAGTTTTTTTTATTTTGTGATTTGTATGTGTGTGTATATGTATCAAATTCAAGCTAGTCGAGTTGTATTAATTTTAAAGAGTTTGTGTAGCTCAGTATTGTTTTTTTTTCGTCATCAGTATGCTGCTGTTAAGCATTAATTTTTTAATTCTTTTCTACATATCTGATTTCTCTTTTTGCATTTTTTTTTATTGCATTTATTTTACATCTGATTTTGGCTATTATAGATCGTCTTTCGATCTCGGTTTTTCACATTTTGCTCAGCATTGTCTGGAGAAAATTTCTTTTGCCTCTTTCGACTCCAGCCAAAAGAATAGAAGAGGAAAAAGCATTAAAGAAGTATTGACAACAAAACAAAAATAAGCAAATTTTTTCTTTTCAAAGCAATTTTCTTAATTTGGCATTCGAGTTACATTTTAAAGTGTCTGAGTGGACCTTCGTTTTTGTCACTGCAGAAATTTCTGTTTTTGGGAAATATTTTTTCTTTTTTTTTTTCACTTTGTTTATTTGATATTACTGCTCAATTGGGTGTATTAAAAATTTTTTTGCTTTTTTTAAACTAATCTTTACTAGATTACGGCATAGTCATAAAGCCTTTATACAGTGATATACTGTTATGACCACTTTTTAACATTCATGTCCTCTTTTTTTCAATCTTCAGTCTGTAGCTTTGATGTTTTTACCTATTTTTTATTTTTGTTAACGAAAATTGCTTGGTGAAGTTTTACTCTTATGCTTAAATATTTGGTCGCTGCTTATGCACTGAATTAGCTAAAGGTTAATACTTGGCTGATGTCTAAGCTGTGTCGAAATGTTAAATTAACTAAGCTAGCTTTTTTTTCATAATCTAGTGAAGTAGAGTTTGGCGAGCATCAGCTATTTCTTGAGCAGTGGTTTACAATAGACTGAATTGGGTGCCTTTTTTTTATCTGAATATTGAAATTTGTTGGGGTCATTGTTGGGAAATGAAAATGTTTAGCTTATTGTTGGTTTGTCATTGACAAGCACAGCAATTTTAGGGTTTATGCATGCACAGTAGTGCTGAGGTGGCGGTTTTCTTGTTTGTTTCTGATTCGTGATTGTTCATTAAATCCGTTCAAATTTTTTTTTTT